TCAAAATACTCTTCATTTATGGGCCAAAAGGGCTAAAATACAACATTCCTGTTTACTGTACAATTCCTTGTGGATGTTCAGTTAACAAATATGACATATTTCAGAGAGTTTATCTTGGTCTCTTCATGACAATAATCCCATTAGATGCTAAATTTTTTAAAGTTCTATTTTTTTTTTTTATGAGAGGCCGCTTTGACCTCCGGGTAGTTATTTCCTACCAGACTCTCTCAGTTAGGAACTACTAGAGTAATGTGTCTGTGCTTGAGCCTTACTCTGGATGTGCTGCTTCTGGCATAGACAGCACATGTTACACTATGTTTGTGCAATGTTGCAGTTTTATGCAGCATTATATTAACCCTATACTACATATAAATTTGTTTTTTCTTGTGCATTTCACCAAATAATAAACATGTTGTCAATCAATAGAAGCATTAAAATGGAAGAGATTGTCCTTCTGAGCAAACAAATACAGGTGCAACAAAGATGTTAGAGAAACAGAGAATCTGGCAGAGAAGTGGCATTCTTTTTCAGCTACTAAAATCAGTAAAATGTTTGCAGGAACCGACATTAATCAGTCATTGGGGTTCATATGACTGTTTAGGATGAAAACATTTATTTGATGTAAGTTGAACTTATCCATTCTGGAAAGTATAAATTTTATGTTCTTGGTGAGAGTAAAACTAAGTAGAAGATGCACTCATCATCGCTATATAAAGTGCGAATCACAGGACAGCTTACATGCAACATCTGGTAGGCTTTCAGATCTAAAGTGAAATGCATTTAGATTATGTTATCAAAACGAATATGGCCGTCTGAATGCACTCACACTCTCTTTGATGGCCACATCTGATGGTAATGACAGCGGCTGCACTGTAGCAAACTCTTCAGCTAGTGAAGTCCCTACAGGCTGTCCTACAACTTGCTAGAAGTCGCTAGATTACATCATCATCTAATTTGTGGTGTTAATTTGCATAATGCCTTGGTCTGATAAGCATAAAGTTGCTAACGTGATGAGTGGGACATTGCTCCTCCCCAAATGCAGGACCAACAGACTGCTGAACTCCTTTGTTCCTCAAGCAATCAAGGGCTCTGTTCGAAAACCTAGGACGCATCCTTAGAAGACCGGACTGGAAGGCCGATTACGTCATTGCGCGGCGCCGAGGTCTGGTCGGATTCCAAGAGTCCTCGTTATGCGGCCTTAAAATGCGTCCTTCTTTTTGCCCAATTTGAAGGATGGGTCCGATATATCCTCGGTATTCTTGGATATCCCAGGATTCATTGCGAGACCAAGCAAGCCGTGATCAGAGGAAAGGTTACTTGGCGCCGAACAGTGGTGAAAATTGGAAGTTCAGTTTAATATAATACAACTCTGTGAATAGTTCCGTCTGAAATGAATGAAAATAGTTGTTTTAATGGTTATTGAGTCAGATATGTGGCTGTAATGTTTGGTTTATCTAAAGGTTTTTATCTGTTACTGTGTAAATGAGTTTGGCTGTAATTTAAGGACAGATTCTAATATATTTGCAGGGGACTATAAATCTGATAGGATTTTTATCTTTTTATTGCTGTTTTGCACAATATGCTTAACTTTGTATTTTTTGTTGTTGAATATTAGAGATTTTGCAGATATATTTTTTGTAAATATATTGTTTAGATTTACTTATATCTTTCTACCCCTTTTATAGAATAGAATAGAAAATCCCTTTATTGTCCCACAATGGGAAGATTTACAGCAGCAGAAAGATTATTGAAAATGGTCACACAAATGTGGACCTTAGAAAAAAGTATAAGAATAACATAATAGGGAAGAGTTAAAATATAAACAATAAAATACTGTAAAGTGTTTTAACAATATAAAACTGGAGAATTAATAACCAATATGCAGCTATGGACATTTTTACAGTAATGGATATTTGAAAATAGCAGCAGCATCAGAGATGTGCAGAATGACAGCAGCAGGTTATTTAACTGACTAAGGTTTCTATCATTACATTTGATTTGATTTGTTCCTGCTCCCGCTGGTTGGAACCTTTATTCCACTCTGGTTCTTGTGAGTGTAGTCTTTGTTCACTTCACAATAACAAATAAATAAATAAACAGTTTTGAAAACTTCTGTATTCATTCTTTTCCTGCTTTGTGTGTCAACGTTCACGGTTGCTAAGCAACCGTGCATACGGCGGTAAAACCCGCTAAAGGGTAGACCTGGTCGAATTTACAGCCAAAACTCTTCCGGTCTCCTTATTTTCAAGGACTTCGAAGGATCCAGTCTAGGTAGACCGCGTCCTTGGAGGACCCGTCCTAGGTTTTCGAACAGAGCCATGCTGTACAACTCCTCACTCGGTGGAAGGAGGAGGTGATAGGAAGAGGGGCAAGGGTCAGCCCCGCCTCTCATTGGACGTGTCATGCCAAACATTACCTAATGTCACTCGTGCAAGATTCTTCTCTCTCACTGTGCAATAAAACATGCCAACTACTGTGTAACCTGTGTAATTTTTTACTTATTTATAAGGTCAGTACTTTTCTGAAGTTCAAGTGCAATAACCTTAATCAACTACTAAATAGTCTTCCTTTAGCTCTCTACTGTGCAGATATTTTTATATCTAAGGGAAACATATTCAAGGACATTACAACTTTTTATTTTTTATTTTTTTGTTGCTTTTTTTGTACTATATACACTCTTTTTATATTGTCTGTAGCATTTTATCTATAATGGCATTTTGCTCTTTGTACTCTAAATTAGCTACTGGAACTAGAATTTCCCTGAAGGAGTAATCCCAAGGGATAAATCACGTTGAATCTAAGTCTAACTTGTCAACGGTGGCTAGCTGAGAAGCTACAGATCAAATGGAATCATAAAGAATGTCGAAAATGTTATTAAAATCACTTGATATTGTCATTGTAATCGCAAGCATTGATCACTCCTCACAAAATGCTAAAACCAACCAGTTTATCTGACCTTAGCCTTAGTATAAACAGCGGTGGCTTCTCAGTAGGGGTTGCTATAGTGCCGCCCCATCAAATTGCAGGTAAATAGGATAGACAAGTAGCCTGACGTAGTCCGACTCAATTCTAGTCAGAATATGAGTCTGATACTGCTCCATAGAGCTGTGATTATGGGGCGTGTTTCGAACGAACCAGGAAAAAAATGCCTCTGTACTCAATTGGATAGACCTACAACCAATAAGAGCAACGGAGTGCGTGACGTATGTTAAGCGAGGCATAGTTGTTGTCCACAAAAATCAAAGCGTGCAGTTTCACGCCTAGAATAAGAAGATGAGCCTTGATCGCGTTTCTCTGTTCCTCTTTTAAAATTAATTTGCTGTCGATATCTTCTAGAACAGACCTAATAGCAGAATCTACTCACCCAAACTCTCCAGCGGCAGCCATTATTGTTGTCACCCAAGCGCGCTTTGGTCACATGGTTGATAACGTTACTCTTGATCATCTGTCCATCATCGTATAAAGCCCGCCCTGACAATTTGATTGGATTGCCTGACAGTGGGCTTTAATACTCACGCTACTATGGAGCAGAGCCAGACCGAACTTCCCCGAACTCAAACCTTGTGGGCGGGACTAAGTTCGGACTGGCACCCAGGCTAATAGACAAGGTCATTATAAAATAAAAAGAAATAAATAATACAAAAAGAAATTAATTTATCTGTTCACCCATAAATATTTATTTATATTTCTTTGTTTATTTGGGGCTTCGAATTTATGTTTTTCGCTTACTTAAAGCAGTATCGGGCGGTCTAAAATGCTCTAAAATGGTGGTATCGGTATCGGAGAGTACCAATAGGACTCTGCATTTGGAGGAAAAGAAGACTTTTCTATTTTAACAATAATCCTGTTAAAGTAAATCATTACCTCTGCCATAACACTCAAGCTTTTGCTGCTAAATACATGTTTTGAACATGAATTCACAGGTTAGAAATTCTGTAAAGGTTGAAAATATGTGTAAAAACAGACATGAAGCCCAAACTAAAAAAAAACATATTTCAATATTTTGAAAAAAAAAAAAAAAAACATCACATAAGTAATATATTGGACTTCATTAACTTTCTTAATGCTAAGTTTTAAAAAGAAATCGCTAAATCTTATATCTTGAAAACAGTAAATCTAAATCTTTTAAATCGTTTTATAGCTTGACAAAGCCATGATGGTAATTATTTTATATCCAAGTAGTATGCAGTTCTTCATTTATACACACACACATCAATTTCAAACAGATGGTATCGATATGATATCGGCCAATACTGCACAGCCAGGTATCGGGGCCAGAAAATGGCATCAAATATTCTAAACTTTTTATTTTTCAGCATTCTTGTCATATTTCTTAGTTTATTTGGAGATTCGATTTTGTGTTTTTTGCTTACTTAAACCAATACTCATAATAGAAGTAATGAACATGAGCTGGGAGCCACAAATTGAGATATTTTAATCATTCCTAGGTGTTTATGGGACCACTAAGGGCTTTGTCATTCCCCTACTGGCTTTGGACGGAAAACTGCACTTGTAACGTTCTGCACCACTGACCACTGTTCTTGCTCTAATGGTAAGAAAAACAGCTTTACTGCAACGTAATGTAAGGCCATTGGAATCCCTTCATTCGCTTCTGACAGGCAATTATAGAATAATGGGAATTTGGAGGTTTATGTGTTGGAGCCGTCAAAAAAGGCCACCGTACAGTAGTTTACAACAGTGCTATATTCAAATGTTGGGGAAACGCCACCCAACAGTTCGTATTGATTGAAAGATTCTTACCAAGGTGCAGAAAGCTTGGCTAATGTGCACTTTTTGTCATTCTTTATCCAATCATATTTATCTATATCTGTCAATAAAAGTAACTCCTGGCAGCTCTGATGCAGAGCTCAGAGACACAGGCATAAATGGAAGAGTCGGATAATAAGAAGACAGAAAAAAAATGGCTTAAAACTCCACAAACCCCACAACCTCCTATTTCCAATAATAGGAAACCTAATTTTAAACCAAGAAGTAGTTACCTTCCACAAGCTCGTCCATACTGGTGATCTTCTTGCTGCCATCTAGGGTGTAGATTGTACGAACTCCTTGCGGCAGATGAAGGTTGTCTGACAATGATCGGGTGAGCTCCATCAGCAGAGCGTCGTACGACCGGAACCTGTCGCTAGAAACGGCGTACACCAGGCCCTTAAAGTACCGGTCCCCGTTGCGAAAGAACCGGACCTTCTTGGCTCTCTTCTCCGAGGTGAGGGCCTGCAGTGTCCGGGTCCTGTAGTAGCTACAGTTGGCGCTGTGGGCAGGACTGGGAACCAGGCTGCTGCCTCTGGAACTGGGGCCGGATCCCCCACCGCTGGCGGTGGAGTCATCTCTTTTAGGTCGGGTAGAGCGTCCCCGGCGGACCTTGTTCCGTTCGTCGAAATGCTCCAACTCAAGGGTCTTACTCAGAGACATGATGAAGGAGCTTCCAGTCGCACTGAGAGTTAATCCAATCAGAGAGCCATATTCAAATGGAAGAAAGATACTTAGGTCCTCAAAATGTATCAGGAAGAACACATTCCAGTTATAATTAAGAGTCTATAATGTGGTCTATAGAGTTTTAATGTAGTTCAGAGTAGATCCACTGGTCCTCTACTAAATAGGGACAATTAGACCTTAAAGCGTCCCTTACTTTACTATATCTTGTTGCTAATTCAAGGTAGATTCAGATTTGTAGAAGAATACTAAGACCTGTAAGAGTTTCAGACCTTCTATAGTAATCCTCTGCTTTATAATTTAGCCCTGTCCCTGAGGCTACTACACTGCAGTGACCCCACCACAACCTCACTTGTCTGGTTTTTCGAAGGCAGACCAAGGGAAACAAGTCCAGCTTTAAACCCAAATCAATAAACCATTATCCCTGTGATCCGGTCCATTTTGGGGATTTTTGTTCCAGGCAACAGTTTAATCCTCCACAGTCATCAGCAGTCCATCCATCCCTGAAAATACAAACCCCCCCAAAAAAAAAAACAATCACATGGTTGGTACTGACAAGGCAGACCTACAGGATTCAGAGATGACACAAGGGGAACAGTCAGCCTTCCTTCATGCAGGAAATATATTTAAATCAGTCAGTGAGGGATGCAGAAGTGCCAGATTTGCATCCAGTTAATTGCACAACATAGTATTTGATCTTTTTGTGGGTTTTTTAACAGTAATGGTGCAAAAGAGGTTGTTTTAAACACCAGACACGTTTTAGAAGGGCATTCTGCAGAGCCTGTGGGGAAAACCATTCAAATGTAGATGATCTGCATAAGAAGAAATGCTGACATGATTATAAAACCTGAGCAGTTTGTCTCTCTCTCTTCATCACATTGACTTTATCCATCAATCCGCCCTGCTGCTGCTGCTGCTGCTGCTGCTGCTAAGCTCTGCTCACATTGACAGACACAGAGGGAGGTACCTACCAATAATGCCGGGTAACCGGTTTGTTGCTAAGGAGGAATTCTCCTCTTCCTCCCCCTCCTCTCTCTCCTCTCACCCCCGCCGCGTTCCGGACAGTACCGGCGGATCCAAATGGGGCGAACCGCTACGGCCGAGCCTAACCGCAGCGGGCCTGTGCGTTAACCCGGGCTGCGGGGAAGCGGTGGCGGCCGGTTTCACCTGCGGAGGAAGGGGATGCGCGGCGGACAGCAGCAGCGGAGACACCGGCTGGATTCACCCCGCCCTCCCCGTCCTCTCCTGGGCTGAACGGGAACAAACGTCCCTCCTCCCTCTCTCTCTCCGCTCCATTGTCTACCTCTCTCTACCGCCTCTCGCATTTATGTCCTTTTTCCGACTCTTATTTCAAATGTTTATTTAAAAAAAAAAATTATATTTTTTTTAAATAAACACATTATTTTAAAAAAATCAAAAGTATAAAAATATTTTTTGACCAAACTTAGTGAATAACCAAAAAAAAAAAAAAAAAAAACACTCAATCATATACGTCACATTAAACTTGACTGACTTTTATACAATAGAATAATAAAATAAAATGTATTTTAAATATAAGACAAAAGGAGAAAGAGACGGTTTAGTATAACAGCTCTCCCTGCTGGCCATTACTCGGCACAGCACTGATGATGGGTCTGTGATACAGCCGCCGGCTGGAGACAAGATTCAGCTCAATTACCTTGAAATAAAAACCTGATTATCATTCAAATTGGATGAAATGCATATTTAATTGTAAGTAATCTATTCCAGCTGTAGGATCAAAGGAATTTTGTGGTTTACAAAGAAATTTAATATAAGAAAAGAAAATTATAATTCTACAAGCTGAACAGTTTTTCTAATATTTTTTTATTTAAACCCTTAAAAAATAGAATAACATTAGATTTAATAACACAATCATGTAATCTTTTGATGTTTATCTAATGAAAAATGATAAAATAATAACTATTGATTACATTATAATTAGTAAATTTAATAATAATTTATTATATTTTTATCTGGAGCTTATATTGTCTAAACAATGAGGTAAAAAAATGCGGCTCTCTATGTATTACATCTTTGCTTCTATTTCATATGTTTTCTATCAGGATAATTAAACTACAATTTTTTTTCTTGTAAATTCCCTTAGTTAAATATGAGAACCATCCTTTATGTACAAGGGGATAAAACTGTTAAATATTAATGAAATTACATTTTTTAACAGATATTCTGTAACTTTAATGTTCTATCTTTGTCAAACAGGGACAGTATGACAGTTATACCCGTATTAACTAATGTTCTGTCTATAATGTTATGTTTAAAAGATGGATAAGATGTAAAGATGTGATGTTCAAAGACTTTTTATCGTTCTTTTACATCAGTTGGTTAAGATTCTTCTAAAATGCATCATTGCAAAGTTTGGAAAAGTACTGTGTATCACAGAAAACAACAAAAATAAGTCTTCACATAAAAACTATTCCAATTAATTAAGCTGACTATCATTAGTTAAGAAAAAAGTGATTTTGATGCAGATGTTTCTGGATGAAAATTCACCTTTTATATTGTTGGCCTTGATTTCTTTAACTATAGTAAAAATACCTAAAACTCAACCTGATAGAGTTTTTAAAATTGATCTTATAACTATTGGCAATCCAACAATATAACTGTATAAAACAAATGTGTTGTGGTTGTTTTTTTTATATAAAAGATAGAATTTCCAGCAAAGTATATTTTATTAGTTTAGAAAATAGAAATAAAAGGCATCAATGATGGACAGCTGTACATAATTTTGCTATATTAAAAAGGGTGGTTGTAGGTTTTATTAATTTTTTATATATTATTTTTTATATATTATATATATATATATATTATTTTAATGAGTGTTCTTATTAATCAGGCTAATTTACCAATCAGGTCTCAGCTACAGCTGCTCACTGTGTTTAACACTGTATCTGGATCACACCTGCTTCTTTTGTCTCATTTATGCTTTTTTTCTGAGTACTTTTTTTCTTTGTTTGGTTGCCCTACTGGATGGAGGCCTGTAGGCCCCACCCTGATCTGAGGATTTGGGGAGAGGTGGGGGGGTTGACAGCTGGGACCCGAGGCAGACAGAAGGGACACACCCTTCACTGTCAGCCAAAGCACTGAACCATTCATGACAAGGTGAACAACAATGATGTTGTTCTACAGCAGAAAGAAAACCTTATCATTTAAACAAACCAGCCATCAGGTTTATCTTTAGTCTGGGTCTAACTGGTATGTATTCACACCTTTTAAAGACCAGTTAAACTCTCATGATCAGTTATGTTGGAAGAAAATCACTCTTTAATTTTCAGAAACAGCAGCATTAGAGAAAAAATCCTGGAAACAGAATGGAGTTACTGTACTGTTGTGATATAAATAAAACGTCTTCCAGAGGAGAAATAACCCAAACATAAGGAATCAGATATTTAGCTTTTTCAAAACTTATATTTCGCTCATTTTGCAAATAATTTCCTTATAATTACCCTTATTGTTTATTTACCAAAGGGGACGTCTTAAAGCAGATTTTTTTATATATATCTCAAATTCTAATTTAATCATTGATTAATCTGACTGCAAGATATTGAGTATAACTTTTGATGCATTTAAAACCAAAACAAGTGTTCAATTTAGCTAAATCTCTAATTTGACCTTTATTTTGTTTCCAGACAACAATGCACTGTGATTGCCTCTAGGCCATACTCATGTAATCCAATGCATTTTTGTTTACTTTTATTGTCTCCTTACTGATTTTAAAAGACATTTTTAATGTAATAAGGCCATAATTATATCTCATAATGCAAAATAACATTTTCAGAAGATCTTAAAAAATGCTTTATTTACATCAAGTGTGAATGTTTTCCTCTGGCTGATCCAGTTGATCCCAATAAAATGTGACAGATTAAGACTAAGAAAGCCAAACTACTCAGAGCTGCCCCCTGCTGGTAATAGATATGTATTGACTGGATATGTTCCTATACAATACAATGGAGATTTCTGCCTTCATTTAACTGTTATCCATGACAAATGAAAGTCAGAAATTATAATGCTATTCATGAAAATGCTAAAAAAGAAAATTACAGAATGAAAGAAAATGAAAAAAAAAAATCAAATGATGAAACATACATTTTATTTTTTCATATTTATTATCAAAACTTTAAAACACAAATGGTAAATTATAAAAACACAAATGGGATTCCAAAAAAAAAAACACAGAGCACTAATAAAGCTGTTTAAAAATAACTTTTACAATCTTTTATTCCCTGAAAAATGCCTCCTCTCCAAGGTTATGCTAACAGATGTTTATATAGAAAATAAAAACCAACAATGGAGAAAATAATCAACACAAAGCAGCACCTCAGAGCCTCTGTAAAGCTGCCTTTTATCACTCAGACAGCAGTCAGAGAAGATGCATGATACGGAGTCAAATGTGTTGAAAGAAGACCCCCAACCGTCCCTTTAGGTTCGATTGATTTCAGGAGCGCTCATTAATATTAAGCACCACAGAGTTAAACACACTGGTTGACATTATTTGATCAGATGTAGCACCAATTATCTTTCACAAAATAACACCAGTTGGTTTTGAACACATTTGAACACAAAAAAACACATTAAAATGTGTTAAAAGCACCTTGTTACATTATAAAACAAACCATACAAAGAAAAATAACATTTGATCCTCTGTGACTGATTTCTGCCCTACTTGTTAATTTTCAATACAGTCCTGAAGTTAGATGTAAAACAGAGATGCTGTATGACACAAATGTTATAATTAAAAAAAAAAAACTCACTAAAAATAATGTTAATAAGTCTCCATTTTGTTTTGTGCAAATAATTGTTTGTTTCATAGATGCTTTATAAAACAATCAGTCAGAAGAAATGCTGCAGAAGTTGTAAGATGAGCTTCAATGTAAATTATAATTTCTTTAATGAGACTCGTATGTACAAATGCTCTAATTCGCTTCACATCAATAAAACACATAATGAGAATTTCAGATCAAATGACATCATTTGCACTAACAGAAGCATGTTGCATAGAAATACTGTGATCATAATCCCCAAAATATCCAGAGCTGCCATTTTCAGTGCTAAACAATTAAAAAACAGCTGCTTGGACCTTAATTGTTTTTCTAAAATTTAGTGATAAATATCTGGAGAGTTTTTTTTTTCTTAGCTGTATGGCTTCATCCATTAAATTCAACAAAAAAACAAAACAAAAGGTAAAGCAAAAATCACACAGAAACCAACAAGATACTTAAATCTAACTGAACCAAGCATTTTCTCAAAAATCTTTAACAGCTAAAAGCAATAACCTTAATATATGAAAATGGAAGCACTCCTTTAAGTTGAAATATAGATTTAATCTGACAAACATGCAGCTTTTGTGTATTAATGCTTTCATATAGGAGAGATGTTTGCTGCATTTTGCAACATGTTAGATGTAGATTACCAAATTCTGAAAAATGATATTGCAGCTTCTGTTGAACTGGTTGCTGTTAAACATGTTAAACATGTTAAACATACAACCTCTACATCTGCTGATCTCAAATAATTACTCTTAAATACTGTCAGATGATTCAGGAGCTGCCTGTAGCTCCACTGCATCAACAAAGTCACCATTTAGGCCCTCTGGAGTCAGTTCTAGATGCTTCAATTTAATTTAAATGTAATAGTTTTCCACAGAGCTGCATGAGCGCCAACTTACATCCAAACTGAACTACTTGCAATACTTTAAAAACCAGAAAAATGTTAAAAGCAAACCAAAACATGTACCCACCTGCTACCTTAATATGTATCCCCACTGCCGACACTGCACACCTAAAAACCAAGCCCACCTCCCACCAATAAACCCAACTCCACTGAACTCCACGCATAATTAAGTTGTCTTTCAGAAAAGAAAAGAAAAAAAAGTCAAACTGAATTTTCATTAGTATTGATACATTTCATTCCGGCTTATAGGCTAAGTATGTAATTCGAAATTAAGATTAAAAGCAATTCAAGGTGCAGTAACACTGAGAAGCAGTTTCAAATAATAGTAAACATCTAAATTAAAAACCAAATCTTTTTCAAATGATCGCCCTGATAATTGAGAACACACACAGGCATATGTAAAGTGGCCCATTTAGTTTAATTTAGATGACAAAATACGGCGGATGACAGGATGTTAAGTTCCACTGCAGGATAAAGAGGCTCACTGAAAGCCCCTTTGAAAGTATATAGATGGATCAAACTGTCAGAGGAAACTCTGTAGAAAGACAAAGTACCATTAGGCCAGTCAAGATACACCCCCAACCGACTGGTGCGCCATCCAAGGGAAGGCACGTCTAGTCTGTGGCTGTGGTGCAAAACATAGAAACCATCATAGGAACAAACCAAACACCAGGAATCCTTATCATGCCCCATCCTGAAATCCCCCATCTTCCCTTTCTTTAACGCATCCTCATGTGTGACCCCAATGCTTAAAGTTCCACAGACCTCCACCTCCCAGTAATGGCGCCCTGTTAGCGCCTGATTACAAAGCACCTGTTGGCGACGATCAGAGTGTTCTATGGGATGAAGATGAGGCGGATCATCCTCCAACCAAGTCACCTTTCTGTTTCCCTCAGACAGAACCAGGTTCTGGTGGGCTGCATCAGAGCTAAAAGTGAGTTCACAGGCATCTGGGAAAAAAAATATTATTAAAACACAAACTTTTAGAAGAAATAAAAATAGTAGAATGTTCATTATGGTCATAATAGAATATATTTTTGTACAGAGATTACATACATTTTTTAAAGCCAGCCTTTAATCTGTGAGTCCCAGCATAGTGAAGGCTGTAAAGGTAGAGAGTAACACATTAAATGGATTTAAAGCCAGTTTAAGTTTTTAGTTCTAGTGTTTTCTGACTGATAATTACTTGAGCTTGCTGAGCTTGTACTGTGGATCATCCTTCAGCTCAGACAGCAGCTTAGCTCCAGAATCTCCTGGATGGTTGTAGCTCAGGTCCAGCTCCATCAGGTGGGAGGGGTTGGACCGAAGGGCCAGAACCAGATGTTTGCAGCCATTTTCTGTGACCAAACAACCAGACAGCCTAAAAAAAGTGCATGAAGATGAAAATATTGTCTGGTTTCAGAAGAGTATACACACAGCCAACATGTCCCATTGTAATTTAAGACTTTTGAAGACGTATTCTTTTTCTTACAACATGTAATTAATGACAAAATAATTAAGCACCAAAAATAAGTGGGATACAAATAATAAAACTGCATGTATTGAAGTTCAAGAGTCTGCGGAGCAAAGATTACAATATCTGATGAAATGGTTGGTGAACTCTGTGTCAGGAATCCAGTTTTTGTTGGTTGTTTTTGTGTTTCCTTTTCTCCTCCACCAGGTGGTGCCCCATCCTCATTGGGCCCCCCTGCACATCTGCAGCTCTTTGGACCACTACCTGAAGACTCTTAAGCTGCTGGCTGCCACTACCTTGACGCCAGAGTGTCTGCCAGTTTGGGGTACTCTAGCCAAGCTGAGTTTTGCTGAGTCAAACTGAGTTTTTGTCAACCTGAGTTTTAATCTTGCTGTTTTTTTGTCATCCTGCAAAACTGGATGTTTTGGACCTTCTCCCCCCTGGAAGGATTCTCTGAGCTCCAAACTGAGCTGAGGAATCGAGCTTGTGGTTTGGATCAACTTTTGCCCCAAGGATTGTTTGGGCGTCTCTCTGAGCAGGGGATTCATCTTCACAAGTATCGTTCAAGTACCACAGGAAAATTAAGTGGCAGTCAGCTCCTCCGTTCCTCAAGGAAAAAAACGCATCTGGGTAAACCCTGTCCGCCCTCCAACGAGCAAGTCATTCACTGCAACAACCCACACCGACTGGATTCAACAACTTTTCCTGGAAACGTGAGTCCTGCTGCCTTAATTCCCTTCTTCATCAAGAAACACAAATTTCCCACTGAGCCTGAACTAACCGCAGAATCTTCCCCTTCACTTTTCAGTCCCCGTTCGACAGTGTTCAGAGCAGCACTGGACTCCTCTCTACTTGCTCTAAATAAAACCTGTTAAACTTTTCCCTGGTCTCTCTGTTTGGTCTTCTGCATTTGGGTCAGAGCTCTAGATAAAATCATGACACTCTGCAGTATAGGCACACTGAGGATTCAGGGTAAGCTGAGTACGGATATTCTGTTGGCATGGATACCAGTTTTAACTTGATTGGTTTATTTTCTCTATCCTTCTGCTTCAGAAAGTGGCTGTCAACATACTGGTCTGGTTTGGACTGGAATCAAACACAAAGGTGTTCTCAAACATCTTTGACTGAGAGAAGATGGGGTGACCTCTTTACCACAATGCAGGAAGTCAACAGATACAATATATTGCCAATAGTCATTGTCTAAATGACTTAAGATCGGGTGTTTCAGTCACTTCTATGGCAACATGTCTATAAAATCAAACGCCTAGATATGTAGACTGTTTCTACAAACATTTGTGAAAGAACAGTTCATTTGCAGGAGTTCAGCGAATACCAGCCTGGTTCTGTGATAGGATCCTGCTTTCTAAATACCCCCTAATCTGGGGTAATAAAATAACGTTTTTTGATGTTTTCTTTTCTTTTTGCTGCTTGTTCTCGCCATATCTGTGCAGAGCTCTTTTTTTCTTGCACTGTGTCTGAAAACAGCTGTGCTATTGATCAGGATATGGAGACGGACTGTTAAGTATGAAAATAAGGTGAACACCATTGGTTCTTGGCACTCTGTTTTTAACGTGTGATATTCAAGATCTAAATAGTTCAAGTAAAACATTATCATTTCACTTTACATTTGTTACCTTAGTATCTCCAGTTTGCAGGACTTACTGGAGAGCCCATGACAAAGCTGCTCCACTCCTGAATCCCTCAGGTCATTGTTGCTCAAGTCGAGATCACGCAGAGCTGAGTAGGAGAAGCTAAGAGCATTGGCCAGGTGTTCCATCCAATGGGCCGTAACTTTGCAATTTGCAAGCCTGAGGAAAGGTGTTACAAGATGATTAGTATCAGTATTGATACTGCTAATATCTCAGTGTATCTTAAGGTTACATGGGAGAAATAAGACATGTTATTTTACTTGAGAACCACTTTGGTTTCTCATCTCAAGGCTTAATTAAATGGTTTGTTAAAAACTTTCTCAGTAGTAGATAGTATGCATTTGGATCAGACTTGCTGAATCAAAGAAATGTCTAAAAATGTAGGACTTGAGTCCCTGAGGCTCAGTGTTGAGCAAATTTTCAACAAACCCAGAATCATACCCACTGACATTTGAGGAATATTGTAAACAACATTAAGACAAGAGATGGGCTTACACTGCTTTTTTGCTGCTCGTCACAGCTGGTATCAATCTCCTTCTACCATCATCTGATGCTTTGTAGCTCTTTAGATCTAGTAATTCCAGATCATTCTTGGACACCTGAAGCATGTAGGCCAAAGCGGAGCAGTGCAAAGGAGCCAGTTCCATGTCTGAATGGTCAGAAAGTTGAAGATATTCCTGAATCTCATCTTTGACCCTGTGATCTCTCATTTCAATCATGGTCTGGAAGATGTTGATACAGCTGTCTGGAGAGAGAGTTTTTCTTCGAATAGATCTCAGGTAAGTTAGGATTTTCTTGTCAATGTCATCCCATTGGTCAAGTGGAGTCAACAGACCCTGGAGGAATATCTGGTTGGGTTCAACCATTAGGCCAAGAAGAAATCGCAGGAAAAAGTCTAAGTGGCCGTTCCTCTTCTCCAGAACTTTGACAACGGTCATCTTCAATAAATCAAGTACAGATGGGTCTTTTTCTTCTATAGAAAGGAAATCCTTAAGTTCATTGTTTTTCTTGTTTTTCAAACACTCATAGACATGTAGAGCGGCAAAGAACTCTTGAAGAGTAAGATGGACAAAGAAAAAGACCTTTCTCTGGGAGAAGACTTCCTCTTCCCGGAGAACAGTGTTGCATAAACCGGAGTAGATCGATGCTTCTGCAACGTCAATGCCACAGTCTTCCAGGTCTTCCTCGTAGAAGATGAGTTTGTTTTCTAAAAGCTGGACAAATGCAAGCTTTCCAAGTTTCAGAAGGAACTCTCTATGAGTCTTTAGGAGCTTCTCTCTGTTTTTCTCTGGGTTCTGATCATATTTTCTGCTTCTACGTTTTGTCTGTGCAAACACAAAATGTGACATCAACTCTGTCAGAGTTTGGGGAACTTGTGTTTCTTCATTTTTGCCAAAGACTTCTTCAAATAAGACAGCGGTAATCCAACAGAATACTGGGATCTGGCACATGTTGTCAAGGTTTTGTGACGACTGAATATATGATGTTATTCTGTTAGCAACAGAATTATCCCTAAATCTCCTTTGAAAATATTCACCTTTCTGAGCATCAGTGAATCCTCTTATCTCTGTCACCATGTCAATGTATTCTGCAGGGATCTGACTGGCTGCTGCTGGACGGGAAGTTATCCAGATGTTTGCATCAGGAAGGAGGTTACCCTTGATGAGGTTTACAAGAAGGTTACCTACAGATGTGACATCCTTTAGAGAGGTAACTTTGGTTGAGGAACCAAAGTCCAGCTGGTGTTTGATCTCATCTAGACCATCGAGGATCACTATAACCTTTGCTTTGGCATATTCTTGATGATCTTTTAATGGTTGCAGTTCTGGGTGAGACTCAGTCAGCAGCTCATGGAGGCTTTTTTCTCCTGTAATCAAGTTCAATTCTCTGAAGGCAAGGCAGAGAATAAAATCAGTCTCTTGGTTTGCTTCCCCTTCAGCCCAGTCAAGGATAAACTTTTGGACTGCAAATGATTTTCCAATACCAGCAACTCCCTTTGTAAGGACTGTTCTGTGGGGTTTCTGTTGTTCAGGCATCAGTTTGAAGATCTCATTAAGATTGACTAAACAATCAGATGAAGGTTGTTCTCTCCGAGCATGTTTGAGCCGTTTGTATTCATGTTCTTCATTTTGTATATCATTCTCTCCTGTGGTGATGAACAGTGTTGTGTAGATGCTTTTAAGGGGATTGCGTTGATCACCGTTGCCTTCTGATGTTAATGTGAATTTATTTTTCAATGCATTTTGGAGATTTCTCTTTGCTTCCAAAATGACATTGTTTCCTGAAATCAAATGCAGATCACATGAGTTTTAAACAAAGGAAAAAATGTCCTAAAATACAGCCGCTGGTGAATATTTCCAGTCATCCAGGTCGTAGCCATTCCAAAAAAAAAAAAAAAAAATATCCACAGGACTTTTTTCCCCCCAAGTTTAAAGATGTTTTGCCTCCCATCCAGGAAGCTTTTTCGATTCAAAATGTCTGGATTAGCGCTGAGTTATAAGCGTAGACCAAAAACAAAGCCTTGATATAGCTTAGAAAACATGCAAATTGAATTTGAAGAACAGGTCCGCCCCTTATGAATGAGGAGTCGTTGAGGTCTTTGTTAGCCTGCAATACCCCATACTGGCCTGTGCCTCTGAAAAGGGGGGAGTCGTTAGCGGCATTTTTTGCCTGGCTGACCAGGCGAGATGTCTTAGTTCTCTGCATGGCAATGAGGATTATGATGGCTGGAAGGAATCAACTCCATCGCTGTGTCGTAGGTTTTTGAGAGCTGAAACCTGAGTCCACCCCCTCTGTGTAGGTTCAATTAGAAAAGCTTCCTGGATGGGAAGCGAAACATCCTCAAACTTGGAAAACAAAGTCCAGTGGTTTGGGTTTTTTTTTTTTTACTTTTTTTTTTTTGGAATGACTAAAATACAACCGTTTCAGGAAAGCAATGAACTTTCAACTAAGCCCAAAGCCCGCTTAAGGATACACATTAAGTGAAAGAAATGAAGTAATCATTAGGATCACTATTCAGCATTAAATAAATAATATTCATGGATATATTATCAGACAGCACCAAGTTATGAATTTCCATGTGATAATATCAGATGACAACAACTTAATGAAAATCGGAGAAGGACAAGAAGCAAGCAAATACCCTCAGAACTTGGCTACTACAACAGTATCAAAGCCTGACTCATGCTCTGTGTAAATATAACTCCAAGTATTTTATATTGCAAGACCATTTTTGACTCTGATCTTGGTCTGTGGGTGTTGCAGATGTATGAATTATCTCAACAAACAGTTTTTTTAGTTTTTTTAAGTCATTTCAAAATTAAACAAATGTATTAGAGTTTCATTAATCACAAATCTAAAACATATACACATTACTGATAAAAGTATTAAACTGGGCCTGTGTGCTTTCTGCCTATAAAAAAAAAAACTTTGAATATTTTTGTTTGGTATTGCTTATACAGTAAAACATCCAATGAATTCTAATATAAGTCTGTAATTGGCTTTTTAAACTTACCTGTGTCTTTATCTGTGTCTTTTGATAATTTCTCACCAGACTTCAAGCAGGAGGAACCTTTTGGTGATTCAACCTGTTCCAATACCAAAGTGCCACAATGCCCACATGACAGGTGTCCACACATAGAGTTCGCTGAATCTGTTAGTGGATCTTTAGATAATGCACAGCCTGTAAGCTCTTCCCTGGGTTTCTCACTGTAAAAAAAAAAAAAAAAGCAGGAATGGCCAGATCAGTAGAAGATTTATATTACTTTTAAGTTATTATTGTAGTTATGATTGAAAATGTAAAACAAAATGCTTATATCATTAATCAGCATTTCCTTTACTTAAATCTGTGCTTTAGTTAAATAATGTTTAAATATTACCTTTTTTTCTTTTTTGACTGTGTCGTGCATTTTTACAAAGTAAAATTATATTCTAAACCAAAATAAGCACTATTTTTACTATTCTATGGTGGGGTTCATAATTATCTCCAAACCTCCTGTTTGCCCTTGTTTCTTTAGTCCCCTGGTTTAAATTAAAAAAGAGTCATACATGACAGACTTATGCATTTAAAATAATCTTTAATAATCTTAAAATCCAAGAATTGAAAACATGTTTCTGTAACACCTAAGTATTCTTTCTTAAAGAAAAGTCAAAAATCTTCATCACCTTTGCACCATTGTGTAGCAGAGGAGTATAAATTGTATCTTGCACATGTGTATTTTTTAATCACTTGTTTTCCTAAAGTTGAATACATAGATATGATAACATACAGAAAGGATTTATTGTTTTTTCACAAACTTTCCTGAACTATTAGATTTTACATGTCAATAAAAAAGGACATTTAAAAATTTTCCTCTTTGTCTTGGGTTTGTCTTGGAGCATTCCTGTCAGAAAGTGACGTCTTTTGCCTAAATTAAAAACAATTATTTTAAAACTAAAGCAGTAAAATCTAAAGCCTTAACTGCACATATCTGCACAAGCAACCCCCTAAAAAACTAAACCTGCTTTCGCAAATTCCCCCTAAAATTCATATTTTCAACTTCAGTGGTTACTGCTCAGCTCTCACCGCATGCTGATTGATGGCACTGTGATGTTGTCAAGCAGCGGTACCACGAAGAGAGAGCGGATTGGGGAATCCTCTCATCGTATCGATGTCACTGTTGGCCCTGTGGCTGCTCTTGCCCCTGTAGTTTGCATTGGGATGCCATGTAAATCCACTGTCCTTGCCAAGGACCTTGCGCTCAGTGTTAATGCACCCTAAGAGTTGGAAGTAAAAACTATGCTATTTAGCACACACTGACAAGTTTCTTAACTACGGTAGTTAATTTCATTGTTTCCCTGTTACACTAACGTGACATTTTTCTTGGTACTTTTATCATGGTCCTTATTTCAGTTTTCTTTTAATCAGCAATTTCAATTTTAGACTTCTTTTCTCTATTAGCTTTTACTTACCTTTTTAACCTGCCTTCCCTGAAGTCAAATGGCAAAAACATGGAAGTGGCGCTCTTAAGAGAGACACAGCTTGGGCTCGTTGAGCTCTCAGCATCCTTCTGAGGACTAGAAACAGATTTTATTTTCATATTATTCACACACAGATTAAAATTATGCAACAGGAGCAGAATCATAAAATTCTTGCTAAACACACATGACAACTCTAAATCTGTTCTAGAAAAATACCTGCTGGCATGGTAAAGCACATTAATCAATTATTACCAAACTGTTGACTCATCAGAGGCCGTGCTCTCTGTTGCAGACGTCTTTCGCCTCTTCTTGTCAGACATTGTTGATGCTGCAGAGACACAAGGAAAACTATATGTTTGTCTTTTGTTTGGAACCGTATTTTAATGCAGGTTTGGAAAGAAATACATGTTGTAAAGGATTGCTGTAGTAAAGCTTTGATAATATGAATTATAATTGTGCCTGTCTGTGTATGTGCACTGCAGTGCACAGACTCTGCTACACTGCAGTAGAGCCTTACACCTGGTTAGTTGTGTCTCAATCTTAAATATCTTTCTCATTCTGTTACAGAATTGGAATTGTATTAAAAAGTAAATTTTAAATCATACGTCATTATATTTTGTTTTTTTAAGTTGTGTGTCATTACAAAAATGTAAGATTATTGAATTTTGAATAGTTGTTTCCTTTCTGTTAGCTGTTGTTCTGCTTTTTTATTAAGGGAACCTTTAAAATCAGTGTCATTGCCACATATACCGTCTGTTAAGCCATCTGCTTCCTTTTTATATATAAAGGAAGTAAAACTGAGAACTTTTACTCAACAATAGTACAGGGAAAGATTGGACCATGGTATACCTTTCTTGTCCAAAGAAATCTACATTAAGCTCCTTGTGACCCTGAAGCGTTAGTGCTGGGGGAGGAGTGTGATAATAGATTGGATTATCAACTGCTATTAGAAGCATATAGTTGATTTATATAGAGGACTGGACAGTAAAAAAAATAAATATTAGCAGTTACTCACCAGTGGTATTGTTAAATAGTCTTGATGATAATATGGCCTTGTGTTGTTCTGTTGATGATAATTTAACAATAGAAAAACAATTGGGATTTATTTTTTTCAGCTTGCGGCTAATTCTTAATTCAGGTATTTCTGGGGATATGATATAAAACATTTGTTCACTGTTTGGAAATCTCAATTTTATTTATTTAATAAAAATGACCCTCATCTAAGGATCTCAAAATAATTTAGAGTGTAAACTGGAAAAAGCAGCCAGAAAAAAATCAATCAGATAGGATGTTAACCCTAGTTCAATTTGAAATTAATTTGAAAAATATTATTGAGATATCTGAACTCATTTTGCTTTCCTTCTTTAAAACAGGTCCAAGGTGAAATTTAGTTTTGCTTACAGCCTTACTGAGTTATTGTCCAGCCACTGGGTCCGCTTGAATTGTTAAAATAAAATGCACATGGTTATACTCTTGGGTCTTTAGCACAGGATCACAGTCTTGAAAATAGCTTTTTAATTGTTGGCAAAATCTGTAAAATGTGTAAAAAGGTACTTTCACTATTGTTTTATTGTCCTTTCATACTGCATCCAACTTTCAAATTCTGTCCACTAAACACATTTTATCATAAGTGAATATTAGTTATGCATCTGAAGGATGATCAGTTAAACACAATGCATTAATGTCAGATTGGAGCTGCATAACAAAGGGCTATCAACTAAAATCAGTCTTTAAAAAAATGCAGTTTAAACAGAAGGGTAGTGACATGAAACACTGTTATTTATTTTCTATCTTTGTATTTTTAATCAAATAAATGTCAGTTTGCAAGACAGGCATTTATACAAATACATTGAAATTCAGAAACAAAACTTTATCAATCTATTGTTTCATTTCTTACAATTAACTTTATTTAATTTATACGGAGCCCCTAAAGGGACATGGAGGGAAAAAATAAACTTTTGCAAGATCCAGCAATACTTTTGCGACATCTCGCAAAACTATTGCGGGATCTTGCAAAAGTATTGTGGGATCTCACAAAAGTATTGCAGGATCTTGCAAAAGCATTGCGAGATCTCGCAAAAGTATTGCGGGATCTTGCAAAAGTATTGCAGGATCTTGCAAAAGTATTGCTAGATCTCGCAAAAAATTAACTTTTGCGAGATCCCGCAATACTTTTTCAAAATCTCGCAAAACTATTGCGGGATCTTGCAAAAGTATTGCAGGATCTTGACAGGCATTTATACAAATACATTGAAATTCAAAAACAAAACTTTATCAATCTATTGTTTCATTTCTTACAATTAACTTTATTTAATTTATACGGAGCCCCTAAAGGGACATGGAGGGAAAAAATAAACTTTTGCAAGATCCAGCAATACTTTTGCGACATCTCGCAAAAGTATTGCGAGATCTTGCGAAAGTAACGCGGGATCTTGCAAAAGTATTGCAGGATCTTGCAAAAGCATTGCGAGATCTCGCAAAAGTATTGCGGGATCTTGCAAAAGTATTGCAGGATCTTGCAAAAGTATTGCTAGATCTCGCAAAAAATTAACTTTTGCGAGATCCCGCAATACTTTTTCAAGATCTCGCAAAACTATTGCGGGATCTTGCAAAAGTATTGCAGGATCCCGCAAAAGTCCTTTTTTCCCTCCATGTCCCTTTAGGGGCTCCGTAAGTTTAGACCAAGCCACTGACTTAACGCAGCAAAAATGTTTTCATGTATCAAAAAAAAAAGGCTCTCTTTGAGATAAAATTTTAATATGTTGATGATCGACACCAATTTAGGAGCAGTTTCATTACTTGTGAACAACAAAGAAAAAATCCAATCAATGAAAAAAACGACAATAGAAAGGATACAAAGTAAGAAAAAATAAGATGAACTGTTCAAAACATACTTACATGGTTAAAATATGTTTTAGCTGCTTCTTCCTTTCATTTCCTTTAATAAAAAATAATTCATATCAGCCTCAGGTCCGTTGGTGATCATCCCTCCATGAGCCACGAGGTTACTGCATGCTGCAACTTTGTTGAATGAGCAAAAAAACTGGTTCAGCCTGATATATGGCGACCACACAAACACAGTCTTTACTAAGTAGAGCAGATGGCAGATGTGGGTGGGGTCAAACCGGAACAGATGCAACTTTTTTTGGCCCCATTTCTACGGATCAGTGTAAATATCTAAAACAGGGAAAACTTTCCTGTCTTCCAGGCAGTTCTTTTAAACTACAAGCATTTTCTTTACTTCTATTCATCTTGGACTGTGAAAATAATAAAGGGTAACCTGAGAAATGATTTAATCTTTTATGCCATGTCAGTTTGAATTTGATTAAAAACCTAATCCTTTGTTTGAACAAAAACCAGATAAGCAGGTGTAGTTGGGTTTATCAACAGACCATTAAAGTCAGACTTTTTCTTTGCTCTCAGACTAAAGACTTTAATTCTATTTACAAAGGATCCTTTAAAAAAAAATCTGGTAATTTTTAACTAGTATTAAACAGGAACTGGTTGTCCATTTCAACAGTTTGGATTACCTAAAGTTATAAAGTAAATAGTGAATTAAAAGGAACACAATGGAAACACAACCAACAGATGTTTCCTCCTGGGCTTTATGGAGCTGCAGATGCAAATTATGTTCATTTAGGCGACTCATCCTGAAAGTTGTACTGATAGAGGAAAGTCTCTTCCATTGATCCTTTAGAGATATGCTCCCTGATCCCCAGTTATTAGAGACCTGAGCTGAGAAACAGCAGGCTAACAGAGTAACAGAGGCAACATAAATCTTTCTCAGTGGTCATACATTTTTTATTCTGTGCCTATTAGGTTAACAGAGTAAAATGTATTAAGAAAAACTTTTCAATAAATATTAAACCTGCTTTAATTAATGCACCTTTTCCTCACACAGTAGCAGACAATTATATATTTCTTTATATGCTTATTTACAGTGGTGTCAAAAGTACCCACATTTGCTACTTAAGTAGAAGTATAGATACTGCAGTTTAAAAACACTCTGGTAAAAGTTGAAGTATCAACTTGACCTCTTTACTTAAGTAAAAGTGAAAAAGTATGTGCACCAAAAACTACTTAAATTATAAAAGTATAAAGTAACCTTTAAAAAAACAGCTAGATGTCGCTATATGAACTAAAAGCTCAATTTTTCGACTATTTCTAAAAATTCTTTGAGATAGGGCCAAGGATGAGGGAGGTCTTGTTGGTCTCCGTCTCCGTCTCCCGATACGCTCTCGCCTATGTCCGACCTTTCAGACATTTCAACATCTTTTTCTGAATCCAACATTGTAGCATGGCATAGACAATTCACGTTTACAGTTTGAAGAACACCTGCTTGCTTCTGATGATTTCCTTTAGCTAACTATAGCTAACCTGCGTTATATGACTCATCTAATTACACTAGTTTTCACTAGATGTGGGTGGAGCCAATGATCTGCATTGGATGGCGCACATGACGTGAAATGAATATTTATAAACATTAAACCTGGGTTAACCAATTAAAAATCAGTGGGGTACGAATAAAGAAAATCAACAACCAGTAAAGGTCCTGAGACACTTTTAATGATCTGTTACTTCAAACATAATTTAACAGTGAAATAAAATTAGGTTTTATGCATTCATGTTACACATTGAATTTTGAAAAAAAAATAAAATAAAATAATAGAAATTGCCAAAAATTGCATCCCGTGCTATCTTAGAGGAGTTGACACTTTATTCCTGTTCATCCATCAGTAGTTAAAGGACAAGGATTAGCAAATGCTAATTCTGCCCTGTAAAACAATGACAGCGCAATTGTCACCGTATGATCTGAAGCCTCATTTGGAGCTTTTAAACAGGCTTTTGAAAAACGTTGATAATTTGCTGCTGTAATATTATAGATTTTTTGAATAAAAAGCTAGCAGATGTGCATAATCAAAAAATAACAGAAATACAATTATAGATAATTCAGTATTGTAAGAAAGCCCACAATGTTTCTGAATACATTATTGTATGAGTAAAGTTCTGCTCTGTTTTTGTCTCTTTTCTTGTAAGTGTCGAAATGTCCTATGCTCCTGAATGCACCATAGCTATCTGACGCTCGTGAATGCATCACACTGGTCTGTGAAAGTTGTGATGCGTCTTTGATTTTCCGCTTAAGACAAAGCTTTGCAGTTTCAAACCTTACGTCGGCTATCACCGTTTATTGTTATGTGTGAATAACAAGAGACTACAACAATTAAATCAGCCGTACCTCGAACAAAATCTTTGGATTTAATGTTGT